AAGAATTATATGCTAAGTGAAATAAGTCAAGCAGAAAAAGACAATTATCATATGGTTTCACTTATTTGAGGAACATAAGGACTAGCATGGAGGACATTAGGAGAAGGAAGGGTAAAATGAAAGGGGGAAATCAGAGGGGGAGAGGAACCATAGGAGACTGTGGACTACGAGAAACAAACTGAGGGTTTTAGAGGGGAGAGGGGTGAAGAGATTGGTTGGCTCCTGTGATGGGTATTAAGGAGGGCATGGACTGCAAGGAAAACTGTGTTATACGCAAACAATGAATCATGGAACATTACATCAAAAACTAATGATGGGGGCGCCTGGGTGGCTCAGTGGGTTAAAGCCTCTGCCTTCGGCTCAGGTCATGATCCCAGGGTCCTGGGATCGAGCCCCGCATCGGGCTCTCTGCTCAGCAGGGAGCCTGCTTCCTCCTTTCTCTCTCTCTGCCTGCCTCTCTGCCTACTTGTGATCTCTGTCGTCAAATAAAAAAAAAAACAAAAAAAACAACAAAAAAAAACTAATGATGTACTGCATGGTGATTACATAACATAATAAAATAAAAAGTCAGACTTTGAAAAATAAAAGAAAAAAGAATTATAACAGACTTCTCTCTATATTTTATGTCTCTAGTATAAGTATATTCAGAAAAAAATTAAATTCTCAATTACAGAGTTTTCCAAGAGATATTTACTGATTAATCACAGTCACCATGGTTATTACATATTATAGGTAAGATAACAAAAATGGTGACCATCAACAGATTCCTGAACAAGGTGTTAAATAACTCCAGTGCTTTGCTTCTGATTACTGGTTTGCTTCCATTCAAACTGCAATCAATTTTCAAGTATACGTGCACAGATTTTTTTTTAAGTTTGTGGATCACCTACAGTAAATTTTTGGCACCACCATCAGGATATTTTCAATGCTACTTTTTGCTACTACAATGAACATGAATAGGGAATATCAAGTAACATAGTGGGCAAGTTTATAATGCTTCTAAATTAATAAAATATATTCCAGGGGAGCCTGGGTGGCTCAGTGGGTCCTGGGATCGAGCCCCACATCGGGCTCTCTGCTCCGCAGGGAGCCTGCCTCCTCCTCTCTCTCTCTCTGCCTGCCTCTCTGCCTACTTGTGATCTCTGTCTGTCAAATAAATACAATCTTTAAAATAAAATATATTCCAAAAACCCATTTTTCTTCCAAGTACTGATTTTGTTAATAAAAAATTTTTAGACAATACTAGATATCCAGAAGTCAATAAATATTTGCCAAACTTCTACTACAAGCTAAAACGGTGTTATGTTTGAAAATAGATCTGAACAGAAGTTTTAGCCTTTGCTGCAATATTTTGGCATTGGGTAACCAAAGGCAGAAAAAAAGATACCCAAGAAACTAATGAGATAAAAATAACTATAATAATAGGTCTGAGTTTCTTGTTTATAGGGTAAGTAATAAATAGATGAAGAAAATATAGGAAGTTCTGCATATTTCCTCAAACGGACTATCAAACTGTCAACATGTTTTGCTCTAACCAGAACTGTCAAACACTGAGACTATTCTGGAGAGCCACAGAATTGAAGAGTGCTTTTCTGCCATGTGAAAAATAGGTATGATTTTCCCCAAAAGGATAAATTTCAAATGATTTTTACTGGGAAAAAAAAAAAAGTTTTTCTTATTCTATTTAAACATGATTTTATTTATATAATATTATGGATATTCTGGCTAAGCAATTATAACTTTTTCTATTCAGACATTCTACACTTACGAGTTTGGGTATAAAAAATTTTAATTGCCTCACAAATGGGGAAATAAAAAAGTATATTCAGCTCATAGCTTAAAAGTGTATTGTCCTGAGCTGGTTCAAGATTTTAAAACTCATGAACCTGGAGTTTTATACAGTTCCATCAAAGGGTACAAAAACACCTTTACCACATACATATTTTTATAATTTATCTGTCTTACATGTGGTTAGGAATTTTTTTTATTCCCTACTTAATGGATTTAAAAATTGAATATGCTCACAGTTGTCCACCAGATGGACAGGAATCAAGATATCTTAAGTGTCAGTCTGGTGTCAATTTACTTTCAGGACTAATATACAATTTAAAAATATCATCAAAGAAACTATGTTGGTAGATCTTTGTGACCATTTTCAGCACTCTCTTATCTTTACATTAAAAAAAATTAATCTGTGAAGCTAAAGGAATAACTCCCTATGAACAAGGCTTAAGCTCTTGGGGCTAAGGACACAGTTAACTTTTCTGGTAGAGTATTAATTTATCACTCAACTTCTCTACTCAATTACCAGCAGAGGCTTATGTACTGAAATGCAATAGTAAATACACATAAAAAGGAACTTCATTTTTCCATGCTAATAAAAACTGCCCCATGAATTTCAAAAAGCTCTATTTTTTTTCCTCAGTGACTCATCTAGGGGTACACAGTCAGTATCAAATGATCTAAAGTTAGCCAAAACGACCCAATATTTAAGTAGGCAGATCTTTAAACACACATTTTTTTTTTAAAGATTTTATTTATTTATTTGACAGACAGAGATTACAAGCAGGCAGAGAGGCAGGCAGAGAGAGAGGAGGAAGCAGGCTCCCTGCTGAGCAAAGAGCCCGATGTGGGACTTGATCCCAGGACTCTGAGATCATGACCTGAGCCGAAGGCAGAGGCTTTAACCCACTGAGCCACCCAGGCGCCCCTTTAAACACACATTTTAAAGAAAAGAGTAATCAACAGAACAACAAAGATACAATAATTAAGCAAAATGAAAAGAATATAATTTAAGTTAAAGAGTATTAGGGAGAAAAAGAAGCACTTCACAAACTGTGATCCCCATGACAGACAAATGTAAATGCAAGCAGAGGAAAGAAGACAGTTACATGTTTGGCACCTGTTTAAAAAACTAAAGATAACTTTCCTTCTATTTTATCTAATAACTTTTGAAAGCTTCATTCCAATCACAGGTTTACAATAATGGAACAAAAAACACTTCTGCTCTGATAATGTTCTGAGAAAGTTAATCAAGGTTTCCAAAATATCTAAGTTATTTTTGGGAATACTTGCCAGGAAAAAAGCCTACCCTTAACAAAACAAATATATTATGCATTTCAATTGTGGACTCTGCATGTTGTTAATCATTTCCTTCTCAATACACATATGTCTACACATTGTAATATCCTACTATAGGGACTCAAAGGAAATCAGTCTCCTTTGGATTAGAATGAGTGATATTTTTAAAGACCATTTGGCCACTTGATATGCTTTTATGCAGATCTTTGAACAACTAAACAACGAGTGTAAATCCATAACAAGACTAATCCTTTTATATCCAAAGCTGCTCTAATAACTTCATGGCTAGTTTCTTTCATTTATCTTTCTAAACCATTCTTCCACTTAGCATCTTGTCCCACTTTTTCAGGTGTCCAAGATGAACACCCAATGAAGATGGGTGTCCAAGATGTCCCAAATGAAGCTAAAGTGCCATAAGCAACTGGCCAATGATTGCTTCATGCAATTCAGATATGTGTGTATAATGGTCAAATTTCAATCATTTAGGAACCAGCTATTCATTTTATGGATCATGCAGACTCATTCTGTTTCTCCTGTTCATTTTTTCTTCAAAAGTGAGTCCACTACGGGGGAGATAAAAAGTGGTAACTGACCCTATAAAGGCTACCATTTGTTACTATCTTGAGTTTAAATGGCTAGCCATTTGTCAATTAAAAACTATTTATTACTATTATTGGAAATTTTAACTCAGAGATATAAAAACAGGTATCCTTTGTATAGGATATGACCTGAGAATACATTCTAAGTTTAGCTTGTACCATGCTAAAAAAGCGCATGTAATCCAACATTTAAAAATCAGACATCACATGAAAAGCTACATTTGCAGCTCCCCCCACACCCCCATCTCCAAATGAAAAGATATGGAAGTAGCTGGCCAAATTGCCATACAGAAACTACAGACTAGAGGAGGGTAGTGGCTCTCCCTGTTCAATGGGACAAGGGCTACAGTCCCCACTGTTTGTGCTTGTCACTAACACTAAGGACAAATGTCAGTAGCCATTCATCATCAATGTTTATCTTTTTTTTTTTTAATTATTGAGAATATTTCTTTGGACTCATGACTACCAAAAGTGAAAAATGAAAAATACGCCTAAAGTTTCATGGGATTCTAAAACACATGAAAATGAAGAATAATATTACATGTTCAATATGCAAGTAAAATAGGTCTCTGTCAAAGACTAAAGCTTAAGATGCCATTATAAAACAAACCACAAAAAGATCTGAAGAGTGTTATAGCCCAGAAATCTATCAGAATTTTTGAGTGTTCGATCCATGCTGTAATTCATATAAGATGATACAATTTTTATGACATCTAAAAATATAGTGAAGCTTTCATATCACCATTTTTATGTTCATTTAATTAACAACCGTATAGGTTATCTGAAAATTTTGACATGTCATTTGTTGCCAAGTTCTAAGAATGTTTTACAGAGAAAAGAAACTTCTATTTAATTTCTAAAATCAGAAAGCACAATTACTCTTTATTTTTCTAATGCCAGATTTTATTAAAAGATTTTTTCTATTCTGACAAGTAAATCTAGTATCTAGATAAAATAATTTTACAAATATAGTGTCTGTGTTTTAAAGCTACTCCTGGTATTAATATAAAGTAATAAACATGAAACTATTTTAATACTGCTTATTTCGAAAATGTGTGTGAAAAATATTATAGCATACCATTATGTTGTTTTCGTTTTTGGTATTAACATGGGTAACCCTTCAAAAACTTGTCCCAGTTAATAAATTAGAACATTCTATATTTTTGAAACACTGCGATTTAATGTTGGCTAATTATTAATTTTACTTGTCACTTATGAATTCTTTGCTCATAATTTTTCTGAATATTTTTGGTCTGTGCTATAGTAATGATTATTTTTAATCTTCCCCCAGAGATAAAGCAAGTTTTCAATTTTGTTTACCATTCTCATTGCTATAGTTCATCAGCATGCCACAAAAGACAGTCAAGAGCTTCTCATTGGCGGGATCTGTTATACTGCACAGTGACCTTAAATGGTCAATTACAATCTGTGCACCACCTGCTTGGTCAACTGCACTTCTGCCCTCATCTGTAAAACAAAGAGTTAAATTAAAAATAAAAGAAAAAAGAAATGTACCTTACAATTTCAAATATAAAACATAACAATGTTATTCCTTATTTAGTGAGTAAGTAGAAAATAAACCTAGGCTGGGCATTAAATATGTCTTTTTGGAAAAACAAGACAAGTAAACATGGAAATGGGGGTGGGATGGGGACAAGAGACAATCACTTTTTCAGAGAAAAAAGTTTATTCTCACTGACATCATATAGGAACTTAAAGAACTCTGTATCCTAGGAATGTATGACTATCACATGTGAAAATTTTCACCTGCTCTTTCACAAATGAAAATTCTGTGTAAGAGAAAAAAAACAGAAACTAATATTTTATAGAAATCCTTTTTCTGAGCTTGGAAACCACTAAATATACCTATCAGTGTTTTTCGAAGTTAGTTGTTATCAAAGAAAACCATCTAACTCACATAATAATTCTATATCACAGTAAGCATCCTTTTAATGGCATTACTATAGTCCACAAACATGGTCCCTTTCTCAATTCTTGCTATGGAATATATAAAGAGCTTTAGAAAACTTTCTAACCCCTGAATGTAGGAATGGAAAGAGATGAAAGAAAGTATGTGTCTTTCTAAACCTGTCTTTCCTCATATAAAAGATATGTGACAGCCGTAAGTATGAGCCACATATGTGATTTAAATTTACTAGTAGCCATATGAAAAAACACCAAAAACATGTAAAAAATTTATTTTAATGATCTATTTTATTAAATCCAATAAAGCATGATCCCAACATGCAATCAATATTTTAAACTGTCTTTTTTTGTGATAAATCTTTGAAATCTGAGTGTGCTTTACACTTACAGTCACATGTTAATTCAGACTAGCTACACTTCACAACTGTTTACTAGCCAAATCTGGCTTGTAGCCACCATACTGGACAAGGCAGCTACAGAAGCATAGTACAAAAGGTCAGTAAAAGAAATGGCTCACAAGGGTATTATAACCACTAAGTAAATGAAAGATTTTCATTTTTCTAATAAGAAAACTGAAACTAAGGTCATATCTTTATTATTGTTCCTGAATCATATTAGACAATGAAACAATATATATCAGTTCTTATGGTGTACACACACACACACACACACACACACACCCTTATATAGCACAGCCTCATAAATATTTGCTTGGTAACTTTGAAAATGTTTCAGGAAATCCATACTAAAGTGAAATAACATATTTTTGTCCACTTAGCATTGTTGTGTTGTTATACAGTTGCAGAAGGGAACCTATGCTCGTCAGCTAATGAGATCACAGAAAACTCCGAACTATTAAAGTAACTAGTCAGATAAGCCAGTCAAGAACACTGGTCATATCCCATTTTGAAATTTAACACCCAAAGTTTCACTGTCCAATAACATAAATGTAAATTATCTCAATTGTTGGGCAATTTGTATGGGTATGATGTCAGAGAAAAGTGAACATTATGATTATAAATCTAAATGTTCAGACCTTAAATAATATAAATATACAATACATGCCATGCCTAAAATGTGTAGCTTAAATAGTCTTTGATTCAGATTGCTGATTAAATATGGGCTTTCAAAATATAAATCACACAGGCTTAGGACTTAGAAATCTTAAGAGAACTGCTAAACTAAGCCTTAAATACATATCCTAGGAAACTAAGACTTAGAAACTTTGTGGAGCCTATTTGTAGTGAATTTTAAAAGCGAAGCTGGCTTCCTAACACCAGTTAACTATCTGGGGTGCCTGGGTGGCTCAGTCAGTTAAATGTCTGCCTTTGGCTCAGGTCATGATATCAGGGTCCTAGAATCGAGCCCCCGCCTCAGGATCCCTGCTCAATGGAGAGTCTGCTTCTCCCTCAGCCCTCCCCGCAACTCATGTTCTCATTCTTTTTCTTTCTCTCTAATAAATGAATGAAACTTAAAAAAAAAAGTTAACTATTCAATATTCAAAATATTCAATAATGCAATAAATTTCAATACAAATTTATCCAACAAATCTGTTCATCAAATTTAATAATGCAGTAAAAAAAGAATATAACTGCAATTAGAAGGCAAACCACATATTTACATCTGAGATCCACAGTGTTTTTCTTCTTTTCCTTTCCTTCCTTCTTCAGTTCCCTTCCACCATCCCTGCCCTGTTTCGATTATTTACAAAATAGCTTTTCACTCATGTATTATCAGCAGTAGGTTACAGAACATAAACTTAATCTCTGTATTAGAAATTACATTATACCAAATCTGAGAAGAAAAACAAAGCACACATAATAATAGATAATCTAAGATAAAAAAGTATTAACCACCACTACAGAAATGTTTATACAGTTCCTTCCTCACCCCCCTCACCCCACCTTTGACAAGTCATCCAGGGAAATACGGTTAAAGATAAATTTATCAACATATTTTAAAGAATTAGAGGATGCAAAAGAATAAATGACAATGTTGTATTCTATTACTCTACCAAAACCAGTGAAAGAATATGTCTTTACAGGTATCTTTTGAATCATTTACAATACATACTAGATCATCTGTCATTGCACAAGTCCATATAAATTGTTCTCCCACAATAAAGGTAGTCTTATGTTACAATATTAAAATGAGTACTATTACTGTTCACTTAAAAATAATTTACAAAAGCTCCCTTATCCTAAACTTTCTTATCTCCGAAATACAGGCTGACTGTAACTCTTCTCATAATAAATAACTCCTAACTTGTGAAACACCCTGCACTGTCACTTCTAGAAATATATTTTAATTTCCCATAATTGTGAGTTATCCAAACACTGGTGAAAGTGCAGCCCACCAACTCTCTAGGCGCTGTTACATTCTCTAATGATGACTTGTCATATGAAGGAAGTTTCTAGCACAAGTATGGTATTTCTTCACAGTAGGTAAGAGCAGAGCTATAAATCTAAGGAGATACTATACTTCCATTACTCCTCAGTAGCCCAAACCAGGAAGCAATAAAACTTGTATGTCATGGTTATTATGTCTCACAAATGAGGAAAAAAAAAATGTTACCAAAAAAAGTTACCAAGTTGATATTCCATTATCAGGTACAAGTATATGGTAAGGCTGAGGAAAAGACCTAAAATAACCACTGAATACAATCACTGTGACACGTAACAGGGTATTCTAATTTCAGATTTACTTGTGTATTTTCCCAACTAGGCTCCCTCTCTGTTCTGGGCAACAAATACCTAGTACATAGTAGACGCTCAGTATTTACTGAATAAATGGGGCCTCTGCTTAGATTGTGGTAAATTATCATTCACCTAAAGGATGAATGTGAGTGAGTGTGTGTGTTGTGTGTGTGTGTGAGAGAGAGAGAGAGAGAATGAGAATGAAAATCATTTATGTGCTTTTGTCTTCACCACCACAATATGGTTATGGAATAGTTTAGCTTTGCCTGTTTTTTGAACTTTATTTAAATGTAATCACGTTGCATTTATTCTTTTGTGCCTACCTTCTTATACTCAATATTACATGTGTGAAATTAATCCATTCTGTTACATGCTTCCTGATATATAATATTCATTGTATGAACCCATCTCAATTATTGGCCTATTCTTCTAATGAGTGTTACTTGGGTTGTTCCTAGGTTTGAGCTATTCTTTAAAATACACAGATGGTACTGTTGGTTCACTGAATTTGCTAACTTCCACTTTCTCCATAATGACAAACAGGTTGCCAAAGCCAGTGTATACTCCCTCAAGCAGCATGTGAGTTCATTGTTCACCCCTCCACTACTACTTGGGTATTATTTTATTTTTAAGATTTAGGAAATCTGGTAGGTAAGGTTGAACCTGTTCCAGACTATACAAAAGCCATGTCTTTGCTGGCAGTCTACTTTTCTCTACTTTCAATAAGGCAATTCATTTGGTATTGGTATAGCATTACATGGGAAAACAAAAACAAAAACAAAACCCAACCCATAACAGTTCAAGCAGAAAAGGAGAGAAAGAAACAGATAAATGCAGAGATACACAGATGTTAGAATTTGAAAGAAAAAAATGTAAAGACAGCTAAGTAGCTAGTAAAAGGTGCCTATCAAGCCTATGTAAAAACACGACTAGGTGCAATTCTGGAACTTTCTTACGTTCATGCTTTATAGAAAAGCCTTATAATAATAACAGCAAATAAACTGTTGTTTTTTTTTTAATCATTTCTATCATCACCAGATTTCCAAAAGAGGAGATAAGGTCCAAGTATTTGAAAACACTGAGAGGCAGAATGGTATTAGATGTAAAAGCAGCCTATAATCTGCAATAGCAAATTTTATCTAAAATTAATTTTTTACAATTTAAAAAGTCTACGATTAACATGCTGCTTCCACTTCTGTGATTTAAACATTACCTTTTTCATATTCCTTCTCAAATTCTCAGTATGAAATACAAATTTAAAAATCCATTTAAAGGGGCGTCTGGGTGGCTCAGTGGGTTGGGCTTCTGCCTTAAGCTCGGGTCATGATCTCGGGGTCCTGACTGAGCCTCGCATTGGGCTCTCTGCTCAGCAGAGAGCCTGCTTCCCCCTCTCCTTTGCCTGCTTCTCTGCCTATGTGATCTCTCTCTCTGTGTCAAATGAATAAATAAAATTTAAAAAAATATTCTCTAAAAAAAAAATCCATTTAAAAACTTATGCCTACATACATAATTGATATTAGTTTCCTCCCACCCTCTGATTATTTGTGTAACAAGGATCTTGGTTTCTTATGCATCCATTTGCTCAAATGTACTAACCAAAGTAAGGATCCTTTGTGACATCAGGAGTGGTCACTGTGGTGATGACTATGACGCACACCTCAGAAAACGGTGACATGAGAAAAATAAACAGTAGGAGCTGATCACACAGTTCTCATCTAAATTTTGTTACAAATTACTACTGAGAAACATGAGAAAAATATGTATGTATGCAGATACTGTTATATAAATTAGCTTTTATGTTTTAAAAGAAATTGTATCAAATAAAAAGAGTTCACCTTTAACATT